TTTAGCTAAAATTGAGAAGAAACACCGTCAACAATTGTGGCTATCAATAGAAAAACCGCAGCGTAAATATCAATTAGTCATTGACTGTAGCGAAACCGGATAATGAACACTCAACAACCAGTTTAAGTGTGAAATAGAGGGTACAAAAATGAACAGTATTTGGCCATCCTCTCTTTTAATAGAGTAGTGATACTTTTCAAAAAATCACAATTCTAAAACTCACTTTTCTACTTTAATGGTAGACAAAAATGGCAAAATATGTAAGACTCCAGATTTATAAATTTTTTAATTTATAAATAAATAAATAAATAAAGTGATATGTGTAGTTTAAATTAAAGTTTGATCATTTAAAAATAATTTATAATTTTGTCCAATGGAGAATATAATATTAAGTTTGGTTTGTTAATAAAGAGAATGAATCAATGAAGTAAAAGAACTTCTTAGCTAGCTCCTATTTTGTGAATGGTAAAATTAGATTTTTAGCAGATTTTGATAAAAGTTGATAAAATATGTAGTTAAAAATTTGTGGATTCCATAAAATATGTGATTAAAATTAATTATTAACTTTAACTTAAATTAAAATCTAAATTTTAATTTTTATCAAACACGTGGGTAAAAATTGAACATTTGGTAACATAATTTTTTAAAGAATATTCTTTGTACTTTCAAAATTATTTTCTCAAACATCTTTGAAGTTCAAGATTATTATAAATGTTAACGCTAACTCTTCAAAGTTATTTTCCCACTTATTATTTTTAATTTTGCATTTTCATCTATAACTATAGATTGTTTGAATAATTAATGATTTATAGTCAAAATTGTTAATTTTCAAATGCACACATAACTATTAAGGGAAAGTTTTAAAATTAAGTGACTATTGAAAGATAATGTTGAATGTACAATAGTCATTGAGATTTTTACCTCTTTAAACTTTGACAAAGTTATGTAATAAGAGGTATTATATAATTTTTTTGTTGCGTTTGATTGTCAATATTTTTTATGAAAAATGTGTTTTTTCCACTTAATTTCCTACTTTTTTGATGTTTGATTAACAATTTTTTCTAATAAAAATATTTTCATATTTTTTATCAAGTGGCCATATTTTACTTGAAAACAAGAAAAATATTTTCTTTAGAGAGATGTAATTTTTATTTTTCATGTAATTTCTCTCTCTCATCTACCTATCAATAAAAAAATGTTCAAGTATAAAGCTAAATCAATCAAACATATTTTATTAATAATTTTCATGCAAATAAGTTTTAGGCAATTGAATTGTCTAATTTTTTTTTTCTTTCCTTGTAAATTTCATGGTCGCAATCAAATGCATCCTTAAAAGTTATCCCAAGCCACGAAAACAACTAGTAACGTGTCTGTAACGAATAATTACTTACCATTCAATTGCAGAATAAAATCCGCAACAGAAGGAATCTCATTTTTTAATACAGATTCTGCTTTCAAGTATTTGAGTAAATGTGTCTATTAATTTCTATGTTCATGTATGTAACACTATTATATGTGCTAAATAGTTATGCGTTACGTATCAGGTAACTCTTATTTTGTCCAAATATTGTATGTAATTAAGCGAATGAAATATTTCATTTTATGAACTGACTATATTTTTTGTATTCTTTTGGATGAGCATTATTCTCCATTGTTATATATATTGTCATATCGGTGTTTTAATATTTAATTGCAAATGTTAGCGAATCTCTTTTCTTGAATTTATTGAATCATCTCAAGAGTACATTGTTCACGCAACTAAACAAATCCCTCCTCAAATCATATGTTAATTAATTAATTTATTTTTTGCCTATAAGCTAATAATTTTGGCTATTTGTGTTTGGACAATAATTTTAAGTTTATTTCCTTTTTGTAATGTAAGAATATTTGGACACGTGTTGAAACTTATGTTGAGATTTCTCGTATACTTTCATTTGTCAAACTAATATTTAAAACAAAACATAAAAAGTACCATATCATGAAAGAATTACTTGACTTTTTTAACGTAGATTACTGAGTTAGGATTTTGAGATTTTGAATTAAAAACCCTTCGTTTATGAGTCAAGATTAGAAGAACGATGAGTCAAGGAGTAGAAGGGGGAAGTGCTCAACTTGAAATTTACTTGTCAAGATAGAAGACACAAAGGTTAGAAAATAAAATTGGAGATACAATAAGATGGCATGGCTAGAAAAAAAAGAGAGGAAATAAGGACAAAAACAAGAAAGAAGAAGAGAGAAAATAATGATAGAAACAAAAAACTAATAGAGATGAAAATAAGGAAGATCAAAGACATTTTCTATGAAATACAATTTGGAAAACTTGAAGAGTTGACCATGTTAGTGTATCTTCTAAACGATGATCAAACAAATCACTTAAAATGGTTGGGAATACGGAGGGAGAATTATAGTTGAAATCAAAGACATCAAATTCTCAAGACTTGAAAAAAGGAAAAAATCAAGAAGACTTGAAAAAATGAAAAATAAGACTTTGAGCAAGATGAGGGTGAATGACTTAAACGAAACATATGAGGAGTCGATTCTCAAATTGGGGGAAAAGGTATCGCAAGGTGGACTCACAAATCACGACAATACTATATAGACGTATAATTATAATGATTTGAATATAACTCCACAATACCAATTCAAGTAAAAACTACCAATAACTTAAATCAACAAAAATAATTTAACAATAAAAATAGGCACATCTCCCCGCCACTGCCAAATTTTGAACTTTAAAGTTCACAAATCTATCTTCAAACACATATGCAAGTGAAGTTCGAAAAAAAAGGGATGACGAGAAGAGGTTGGAAACATTACCAAATAAATATTTGGTTCTATTAGAAAGCAAAACTGCCTTATTCCATTTTATCAAGATCGATATATAGTGTTGTCTAGTTATTGGATTACACATTCTTGTTCTCAGTGCAATAATTGTTTTCTTTAGTTGAGAGAATGCATATATTCATTTGTAATTTGTGTTATAAAGCAATGCATTTGTGGAAAGAGAAAGAGGGTATTGAAGTAAGAAATGTGAGAGGGAGATGACTTAAAGTTAGTTTTTGTTTTCGCTTGATTATGGAGAAGAAGACTTGTCCCTATTTATAGTTCTAACCCCTTAAAATGGAGGGTTGAAATTCATCTGACTTTTCAGTGAAGGATTGATACTCTATGATGTTTTATATTATATATTTCCTTGAACTTTCTACAATATTCATAGTTAAATTGTACCAAAGTCACTAAAGTTTCATGGTATTTGCAACTAAAACTTCAATTTAATACTTTTCAAATAAGAAATAAAAAACTTAAATTTAATACAATTGCACCACTATACTTTGCCCCAGTTTGATTTTGATAAAAATCAGATTTGTAGTAGATTTTGATAAAAATTAATTAAATGCGTGCCTAAAAAATTGATAAAAGTTATGATCCCCATAAAATATGTGATAAAAATAAATTGTAAAAAATAGAGGTCAAACATAAATTGAGCCCTTATTGGAACCTCATTTTGGGTGAAAAAAATGAGTTTCGGAATAATAATTTTTAGAGAATGTGTGGTTAAAAAATAATAAAGACTTTTATTTTTACGTATAATATTATTTTATTAAAGAATATGTAATTCAAAAAAAAGGAGAAAAAAAAAGAGAAAAATGCATTTTTTAAATAATTTACGCTAGACTTACCCCCTGTTTGATTTTGATTAAAATCCAATTAAAATCTAAATTTAAACTCATAATTAATTTTAACCACACATTTAATTGGATCTACAACTTTTCGATCACATATTTCATCAATTTTTATTAAAATCTACTAAAAATTTAATTTTAATCTCTACCAAACAGGACATAATTTGTGAACAATCAAATCACCCCATTCGAATTCGATAAGTAGAACTCCGTCAAAACTAACGACACATCATGTCAACTAATATCTCATGTTAACCTTTCTACATTAGACAACGATCCATGTGATGTGAGCAAGAAAGCACAATTTGGCACATCTCGGCCCCACCTTCGTAGTTCCGGCAAATCAGGCCTCCTGGTGTGATCTTGAAGAAGTTCCAGAGATTCCCATTTCTTCTCAATTTTAATTCTCCCCCCACCTGCTGCGATTGTAATATCTGGTCAAACCCTCAACGCAAAGCTAAAATTATTGCCTTCACTCTTTATAATTGGATCGATTTTGAATTTTGTATCTGGCCATGAATCCTGAATAGTAAGCTCTTTTCATCATTAAAAAATATCCATTGGGATGATTCAATTATTCTTACTTTATGTTGAGTTCTTCGAATTCTATCTTCCATGAGGCAACTCTTCTGCATGTAGTCGGTTTTCAATTAAATCTGTATTTGTTATCTGATGTTTTTTTTCGTTGTTCTATTTTCTGATGTGATTTTTCTATGGGTCTATTTGATCACTGAGACTGATGTTGTTATGATACGAATAGAGATTCATATACGGGCTGTAATTAAAATTTTCTCCGTTGGTGAAAATGTTAACTTTTGTATATGCCGATTCTTTGAAGGAGAATGTTAATCAATCGATTTTAAAATATATTTGGGAATATCAGATGATATTGAGCAATGAACTGATTGGAGCAATCAATATTAGTTTTAGAATAATCTGTGTGGGATCAGTAATATGCATGTTTTAGAAAGTTATCTTTCAATTTTTTTATTTTTTATTTTTTATTTTTTATTTTTATATTTAGCTGCCAATATAATATAATGCAATGTGGAAAATTATGAGAAAACATCTTTAGGGGCAATTTTTTGTTTTTCCATATATTTGTTGCCTTAAGCGCCTTTCTAAATAACTGTGAAATTTCAATTCTGTATTTGTGATGCATAATATGCATTGTTGGTTATATTTTCTTCATTACATTTTTTCCATAGCTGTTGAAACATGTCATGGTGTACGGTTGTGGCTTTGACTTTTGAAGCAGCTTATACAGGGGGTCGACTTCTCCCCCCAACGTGAAATTCATGGCTCCACTACTGAGCTTATGTTTGTTTTAGTTTCTAGATGCAAATCTACATGTCATGAGAAATGGAAAATATGAGCCGATGGCATCCAGAGGATTTAGACTAAAACTCAATGTTCGCAGGAGATGCCTACATCTCTCATCAAATTTTCATGCATAGAGTACTATTTTCTTTTTACCTAAAATCATGGTGGTGTTTAGTTTAAGTTAAAAGAATAAAAGAATTCTGTTTCCAAACAGTGATGTTAATTCTTTTACTTTTGTATAATTGGATAAGATGTTGTATTCTTGGGTCCATTTCTCAAAATTATATGAAATTATAGGATCAAAAATTTTCTTATACTTAATTTTACATTTATCTATCATAAGTTAGTTTTGGATTTTATTCAATTGGATTTCTTTATCTTGTCTTACAAATTTCACCTACCTTTATATTGTTTTTTGTGCAGCGATTACCTCTTCAAGCTTCTGCTAATTGGAGATTCAGGTGTAGGAAAATCATGTCTTCTTTTAAGATTTGCTGTAAGCTCCTAATCAATTTTTATTACAATTACCATCCTTCTTTAATGAAACACGGGGTCTTTTTAAAACTTTCTTCTGGTTCAGTTTTTTATTTGTTAAGAGTTTCTCGTAAAACTTGATTTTGCTGCCTTGCATAATACATCAGCATTTTTATGTTAGTAGATGGGATTATCTGTTTGCAGTGTTACCACTTATTATTATTGTTATTTTTTGCATCCATTGGTGGTGGTGGTGGGGTGGGGGAGGCATGGTATTTATCCTTTTGATTTCCTTTAGTGATTTGCTTCACTTGCTGTTGATGTATTTTTTAGGGAAACCATCATGGCCTGCAAATGTGGTCTTCTTCTTTCGATATGATAGTAACTCCTAAAATATGTTCTTTTTATTTTGCACTTTTCCATATGCTCTTTAAATAGCTTTTGTCCTATGATGCACCAACACAGACACGTGCGTCCGATACGATATGTGTGAGATACGCCGACAAGGGATTTTTAAAAAAAAGTACAAACACGACACGACACGTCATCGACACATTGTTTAAATTCTTAAAATATTTTCATTTATATAGTATAAATTTTATGAGTACCTATTTGTTACTTGATAATAATTTTGAATTAGCAATATATAATATTTCTAATATAAAAAGAAAAATTATTACAGTAGAGTGTCCAACAAGTGTCGGTATCGACTCGTGTCCGACACGGACACGCTACCCTAATTGAAGTGTCCCTGCTACAGAGTTTTTGTCGATTTGTTTTAGACATGTTAAATCACATTTGAGATATGACCAAAAATCCTAATAAAAGTGATGTTTTCCCTAACTATCTTCATCTTTGTTTTCAGGACGATTCATATCTTGAAAGTTATATTAGTACCATTGGTGTAGACTTTGTAAGTGATCAGTCCAGTGATGCCCTTTGTACAGTACCAAGTACAAAATTATAATTCTTTTGAAACTATTTCACATGTTCTTTGATGCAGAAAATTCGCACAGTAGAGCAGGATGGAAAAACTATTAAGCTCCAAATAGTAAGTTTTTGCAATACACATGATGGCCTTTTGATGAATTTAAGATCTCGTTATGGTTCCCTACATGTTAAACTTCTTTGCACAATTTGGGTATTTTGCAGTGTAAAATTTTTCAAGTGTTACAACATAGCATTTACATTCAGATGGCTTCAGTCCATGCCCCTTCTACACTGGGTCATGAGGCCCTATGTCTGTTGTGTTGTTCTTAGTTTCAGGTTCAATTTTCATTTAGTACAATCTGTTTCCTTTTGCAGTGGGACACTGCTGGACAAGAACGTTTTAGAACAATTACTAGCAGCTACTACCGTGGGGCACATGGTATCATTGTAAGTAATGCCAATTCTTGTTAGGGCAGTTTCCTTGTGATGAATTTACTTAATTCAGTGGTACATCTGTCAGGTGGTTTATGACGTTACTGATCAAGACAGCTTCAACAATGTTAAGCAATGGTTAAATGAAATAGACCGATATGCTGGTGACAATGTTAACAAGCTTCTTGTTGGAAACAAGTGCGATCTCACGGAACAGAAAGTTGTGTCATCCGAGACAGCTAAAGTAACTTATCATGCACTTTATATTTCAAATCCTTGTGTGCTTGTATGAATCTAGTTCAGCTTATTTTTGAATGATTGAGGCTAAATAACATAATCAGTTCTGATTAATTAGAACAATGCCGTTTTTCCCCAGGCATTTGCAGATGAACTTGGGATTCCTTTCATGGAAGCAAGTGCAAAAAATGCCACTAATGTCGAGGAGGCTTTCATGGCTATGGCTGCTGCAATCAAGAACAGGTATAGCGGTTTTATAGTGTATGTTGAGATTATAGTGTTGAAATTGCTGAGTATTGTATTGTCACAGTTCTTTATTTGGCTAAGCTTAAAAAAATACATATAGGTAAGCTTACTTTGGGCCTGTTTGGAATAGATTCTGCTTCTGCTTTTCAGGGAAGAGCTTAATGAGGTAGCTACCTTGGGTCAGCTTCCTCTAAAGGTCTTTTAAGTTAGACAATGCACTTTTAGAAGTAGCTTCTTAGTCTTAAAAGCAGTTTCATCTTTTATGTCATGCCAAGCATGCCCTTACTGATAAACAAATTGTAGAACAACTAATTTCTTTTGTTGCTTAAGTAGGATACAAGTACTTATTTTGAAAGTAACCTTACGTTGTGGTCAATAATCAACTATGAGAAAAAATGAAATCTATCCAAACATTTCCAGAAACAAAAATATACTTAATGCAAGTTCGATTACTTTTAAGCTTAACCAAGCAGGATCTGTTACTTCCCTTTCTCTCTTTGTTATCTAGATTACGAGTATTCCTTTGTGTGTGTACAGGATGGCAAGTCAACGGGGCATGAACAATGCCCGACCTCCAACTGTGCAGATCAAAGGACAACCCGTTAACCAGAAATCTGGTTGCTGCTCTTCCTAAAAGGAGAAAGGAAAAAACAAAATTAAAAAAAATAACTGCTTGATGTTACTGCTCTGTTCGTGGCATGTAAAGTTAGTTTCTTCCATTGGTGCTTTAAGACTCAGCATAATTACCGCCTCTACTGTTATTTCAGCACTTTGTCAAAATGTTCATTTGTTCAACGTATTTGATTCAAAGGACATTTGTACAAAGTAGAAATATTGGTGAATTTATATCAGTATCTGCGTTCAGTTTATTTCCATGTCCTTGAATTTGATTAAAATTAAGGCATTCATTTCGGTTTTTAACCTTCGTTTTTGGTCCATTTTTCATCTAATTAGATGTGGACAGCTAAAGGCTGGTTCAATGACATTTACTTTCTCAAATAATTGGATACATGCTTGCAAAAATGGAAGATTGGAATTAGAGAAACGTCGAGGAGATGATACAATTGGAGGATATGGATATATAAGTAGTGTCTTCTCGCATCCTTCTTAACAATCGGTTGTCTTATTACACAATTTAGCTGTACGTGGGTGAGATGAGTGAACTAGAGGTTAGAATTTTTTAGGGTTGGAATTGGGCTTTAAAGAAGTTTATGAGGTCTAGAAGTTGATTTTCACATTGGGTGATTTTGTTGAGTTGATGATTTGGTTGAATTGTAAATTTTTATAACGATTATATCTTGTCATGTGGGATTTCTGTGCAATACATTAACAATGAAGGGAACGAAATATGGCAAAAACATCTTAGAGATGAGTAACAATTGGAAAACATTTTAAAGTTTGATAAGTAATATGTGACAAGTGTAAATTGAATGAGTAATAAAACAATTGTTTGACTAATTTGTAATTTTTACGACAGGTGTAAACAAATTTACTATGGTCCCATAAATAACCCCTTCGCCATGCTACAAACACGTCTCTGACTTTTGTCAATGTCATAGCCAAGTTATTCCCACATATTAGGCCTCCTGATTCATGTCGAAGTTTCAGAAATTTGATCTCACACATTTTCTTGTCACCCACCTGCAATTCCATTATCTAATAAAACCCTCGTCTAAAAATATTTTATTAGTCCTATTCCGGCAGTTACAAATGCTTCAATCACAGGAATAAAGTTTTCCAACTGAATTCCAATGGCAGAAAAGAGATTAAAATGGTTTCATTAATTTTGAGCAACCGAATTATCGTCGATCATCCTTGTCTATTTTCGAAGACTGAAACCTTTGGCATGATAAACATCTCATACGTGCATTTACAAACACTGATTCAACGATTAGAAGTCCACGGTCCCTAAGCATGATCACCCCCAAAGCTTTTTAACAGTAGGACAAATTTCATCAAAGAAAGCAAACTAACAGAGTACCTGTAGAAAAACCATGTAGTAGAATAGAACAAAACTGTTTTAATCAAACTCCAAAATGAAACTGATCCCATGAAGTAATTCAAGAAAAAGGGGTTCCTAATGCTCTAAATATGACAGGAAGTTATTCGTTAAAGTAGTGAAGAACCAAGGGTCTAAGCTCCTGGAATACATCTAAATATACACACAAGTTCCTGTTGATATGTCCTGCCACCACCGAGCAACTAAAAATAGGAAAACCACAAAAAACAGAGCTCGAGAGGCAGGTGGAGACCCCTTAATTCCCACCCAAGGAAGGGAAATGCCCAGCATCTTCGATAGATGGGGCTTGCGCATTGTTCATACTGTTTCCAGCATATCCACCTCTACCACGGCCACGTCCCCTACCACGGCCACCAGGTCGATAGTAGTTCTCCCCATCAGCAGGCTTCAAAAACTCATTTATGTTCACAGACTACACATGAAACAAAAAACAATTACGAATTGCACTAGTCGAGCATAAATCACAATGGTAGTCATAGTTTATAGGCAACAGTTAAATTCAAATATCAGAACCCCAAATATCACAATCAAAGCAACTAAGCAAATTCTAAGGCAAATTCTTTTATATATATTTAGAGGTTCTAAACAACTCCAGAGGGGTAACAATAGAAAAAACAACAAACAGTCTGAACTTATAATTGTTAAATCAATTGGTTCAATTTAGATCCAATTAGCAACAACTGGCCTCTCTTCCAGGTTCAACAGACACAAGTTTAGACACTGACCATCACCAGCAACCTAAAAAAAGCCATCTTCAAAGACAAATTGCATAGTAGTGCAACAAGCAACAGAACCACTCTAGAATGTAAGGTAATTCAAGGAGTACAAAGGACATACAAGACATGCAAGGTCTTGTCTTGATAAAAAGACAAAAAGGGTCTTCAACAAAAATGTAGACAAGAAATGGCACATACAATATAGACAACATTTCCCAACGGACCCACCAGTACCGTGGACAAAATATAAAATGATCATCAACAAGTGGATGTTATTGATAAAATTCAATATAAACATTCAATAATTAGCAGCCAAAATTCAGAAGAGATTATGCAGCAGATTTGTCTCGAGTAAAAGGGGCAATCCTGTACAGATATCATGAAATTTAAACATACCTTTTTGGCCTTCTCAGCTGCCTCTTTACGTTTATCCTTATCAGAACCCTATCCAATTACCAATAAATTAAAGACAATCCATAAACTTGTCTTAGCTTAGTTAAAGAAATTAAGAAAGCTTTAACCAAAACAGTTGACTGACCAATTTTATGAAGACTTCATCGTCATTCTTCTTGTTGGACAGAAGTTGCATGGATTCAAGCTCTTTGTCCAAGTCAACCTTCCTTTCCTCAGATTTATTTGCCAGCAAGGCCTTTCTCTTCTCTTCTAGTAATTTTTCATACTCCTCCAGTGTCATCTCCTAGTGGGAGACAGTAATTATATAAGTCCTTTTCAGAAAGATAAAAGACCTAGCACAATTGTTCAATTTGAAGAAAATAAGTTGTGTAGAACACAGCGAAAAAGTTATTGTTGTCAAACAGTACTAATAACTCATGGCAAGACATGAGATCCTAAAAGTTCTGAAATCCTACATCGTTTGCTAATATTGTCTGCGTCTGTGCCACCTGAACTCATTCATTTCCGAGAAACAGTAATGACTTCCCAGTTTAAATGCCTGAACAAAAACTGAACTAAATTCATAGTGAAGTATTTCTCTTCAACCTTACATTAGGTTTAAGCGACACTGAACCTAGATGTCAGAAATGATGTACTTTTATCACTGTTTACTTGTTCAGAGATAAAATGCAGTACATCACATTAAGAAATGGATCAATATCAATGCAATCAGAAAATACATGAAAACTGCCAGTACTTCCACATCTCCAAATCACATAACAGAAAAATCTAATTTTCAGCTCATGCAGATACTAGTACACCTTTCCATCATAAAGAAAGGCTTTAAAACACGTACAGCTTTATGCAGGATACAAAGTTCAACAAAAATTCATTGCACAAAAGTCATCAAGAATTTTGGAAGTTGGAAAGCTAACGAAACATGCATGACACCCACATTCAATGAAAAAAGTAGATTGATTACCACTTGATTCTAAGTCAGGTCAGGCAAATTGATGCAAGTCAATCTCTAGTTAAGTTCAGCAAACAAAAGTAATGAGCCAATTGTTCCAACTTTCAAGTGAGCAAAAGCACAAAATCCTATAAATTCCATGAATAATCCGAAGTGGAAGGGCACTCACCTTTTCCTCAGGCTCCTCTTTTTCTTCTTGTTCAGGCACAGAAGTATCCTTATTGGCATCTCCAACATTTTCTTGTTCCAATTGCTTCTCAGCATCAACATTCTTCTCTCCGTCGTTAACAGGTTCTTCAGTTTCCCTATATAGGCAACAAGACAACATAAATTGAACAACAGCATCACGTAAAGAGTTATACTAATATGACTCATGAAATTCCAATCCAGAGTTATACTTAAAAGACTCCAGCACTTACGGAGCAATCTCATCAGTGGGCATTCCCCAATTTCCTCGACCAGCACCCTCACGTTTAAATTCATTCCTGCAACAGTAATAATGAAAAGATAAGATTCACAACTAAGACAACAAAAATTTTGAAGTACACAATAACTACTGTGGTATATAACTCGCACCAAAAGGAAGAGATAGAAAGGATTAAGGCACAAAATGCAACTAAATACTGACAGCTGGTTAGTAAATCCATTACCCACGTCCAGTCCCACTGTGTCGCTCAAATGCCCTCCTAGGGCGTTCACCTTCCACAGTGTCACCATTGCTGAGACCGCCACGGCGACCACCACGGTAACCCCCACCTCCCCGTGGTCCACCATATGAACGTCTTTCAGAGGGCTTGCCATCATCTCCTTCTTCGGAAACTCTGTGCCTGCCAGAATATCCATTGTTTCCAAATGTATTTTCATCCATAGATTCACGATTAAATCCGCGTCCACGACCAGCACCACGCCCAGCACCACGACCTCCTCCACGCGGACCTCCATTACTGGCCTCTCTCACTGCTCAAGATAGATTCTAGCCAAGTGTCAAACAATAATGTGGATGGTGGTAACAATAATGCAACCCACAGTTAAACTACAATCAAGAGAAAGAAGGAAAGTAACCTACATCACATGAATTGAAAAAAAAAAAAAAAGATAGAACCCTTCCCAACAAAAAATGGAATAACAAGATCACAACCATAGATAGGCAATCCAACTTCGACTCTGAAGCCTATAACTTCAATGTCCAAGTTCATTAGTTTACCCCATGGGTCCCATCTATCTGGAGGTGGGTCACAACTCATGGAGAACTTGTAATAGACACTTTTTTCCTTCTAGTTGGAAATCTAACTCATTTTAGGGTAGAGCCCTCGGAGTCATGCTAAATAGCAAATCTGCAGTGGAAGCAAAAAGAGCACCTGTGCATTTGAAAACCAAGCTAACTCAAGAGCTCATATCCTCTTGTAACGACGCTAACAAGTGCAGTTAGGGGCATAATAGGATTGTAAGATCTTACTTAAAGAGATAAGAGAACACTAAGCTGGGCCTTCCGAGTGAAACACTCTTGCAAAAGAGCCTTAATGAAACCCAAGATAACATGTCTTTCCAAATGAAACTTCGTGTTTACTGAATTGTGCTAAAGATACTTCCCAAAATAGCAAGAAAGTTAAGCAGAAAAAGATTTCAAAATATGGAAAGCCTTAAAAACTTGCATCCTGCCAATACAATCGAATACCAAACTAGAATTTAGGCTGTCAGATGACGAAGGTTGAGATATTACCCTTTCACCAATTATAGGAAGTAGCATACTCAAAACTACTACATGTTTCCAAAAGTGACAGTACAAAAAGGCATATGGATAGCAGGATAGGTGACAATTATTGATTTAAAAAGGAAATATAAGTGATTGTTACAAGATATGACTGCGCAAAGAATGACAGACTGACAACAGATTCCACTAGTCAAGACCCTATATAAATGAGTAACAGAGTAAGTAAAGATGTCATGCCATTTTCGTAAATGATTGAAAAATTATTAGATATACAACTTTCATTATAACAATTCAGAAATCATAACACGAATTAAAAAATTACTAATTTTATTCAACGCAATATAGGTACAAAGAACAGAAATAAGAAATGAGACACAAGTGAATGAAGGATTCCCCATAAAAGTGGGACATAAAATGATTAAAAAAACATTTTATAGAAAACAGAATTTGCATTTACATATAATAATATTTAGATGCCCAATAAAACTTATTAGTAGTGTTAGTCTGGAAAACACTTCTTAATAGCCAGAAGCAAACCCATCACCATAATCACGCAGATACACATTAAAAAATATAGAGGCATAAGGCCTTTTCAAGCTTATTTTCTGAGATAGATTTTGTGAAAATTAATATTTTTGGAGAATGCGGGGGAAGAAGTGAGGAAAAATTCTGGATCCGCGTGCAAAATTATTTTATTGAAAGAATATTTGAATGAAAATGAGTTTGGAAAAAAAACAAACAAATGCATAGTTCCAGCAAATTTTTATCTTTTTATCATTTCCTCAATTCCTACATCAAGGAAAACAATTTCTGATCGCATAGATTACTTGGGGAAAATAACGGAATGCATGAGATGGGTGGTATTGTTTTCCCTCCAGTCTCTCAGCAGTCCAGTAAGCCAATTACATTTACAAACAACCATATTCACATAAACCAACAAAAAATTCAACTACATTAAATTCTCCCATATTTACATCGAGTAACCACGTCAAAAAATTACAAATAAAAAAAAAAAACCAAGATCTTTATTTCACTTTATTAACTTACCAGCCTGGGCAGGAGGTAGAGGCTTGGAGGGAAGCTTAGCGGCGGGCTTAGCCGGCTGGGCTTGAGCCGGAGCCTTCTTGTCCGCGGCTGAAGCTGGAGCCGAAACCGGAGCCTTCTGCTGATGAGCCGCAATTAATTGACTCACGTCTCCGGTGTCATCATCACCCAGAAGATCAAATGGATTTACCGTAGCCATTTTCTCTCTGTTCTCAATATGAATCAGATAAAGATATAGATATGTATCTAAAGCTCAACGCTTTAGCTTATTATTATTGGAGTAATTCAGAAATTAATAAATAGAATCCATGAAAAAGAAGAGTGATTTTGTGTAAAAGACAGCTAGAGAGAGTGTGAAAGAGGGTGGGGGCTTACGGAAAACCCTAGTAAATGCGGCAGAAGGAAGAGAGATCGAGCACGGCTAATCTTAAAGCCCTAGGATTTAATGGGCTAACTGAACCCCATTAGTGGTTTGGGCTAGATGAATATTGGCCCAACAAGATTTCGGCTCAATAGTGCAACTTTTTATTTGGAGTATGGAATAGAGGAGAAACAAGAGAAAATTACCCAAAACCATGTATTTAAGTTTCCACATTCAAAAATCAGGTGTAATATTTATTTTATCACAAATCAGGTGTTAATTGAATTAATAATTAAAAGCCTAATTAAAACCTAATTTTCCATCCCATCTCTCATTCATATCTGTTTGAATCGTCCCACCCACACACCTACTCTCTCTCTCTCTCTCTCTCGTCTATCCCTCCACGCTCTCTCCTCTCTTTCTCTCTTGTCATCGGAGACCACCGACGCCGCTGCAAAACTAGCACCGTCGCACGACCTCTTCCCAGGAGCTTCGCCGCACGACCTCCGATCAAAATCCTGTTGCTGCGAAGATATTTTCCGATCCTGCTGCAGCATTAATCCTGGGCAGAGATCTCTTTCGGCATTAATCCTGCGAAAATCCTGCTGCTGCTGCTGCATCAAAACTAGCATTTTTCGTTGCTGCTGCGAAGATCTCCAATCGAAAAATGCAGTTGAAAGAGAACACCACCGAAGATCTCTTCCCAGGATCTGCTGCTGCGAAGATATTTGCCGCCGAAAGAGAACACCGCCGAAGATCTCTGCCTAGGATCTACTCTGCGCGCTTCAGTTGATTAGATCTGGTTTTGGATGTGCGTGATGATGTCGTCGTGGCTACAGTCGATGCAATATGGCTAGGTTGTTGTGATGTGTGATTGTGGTGGCGAGGTGGTTTGATGGTGTTGCCGTGTTGATAGTGGTGGCGTGGCGGGTCGGGTCGGGTGTGGCACAAGTGGTTGTGATTAATTATTGGGTGTTGTGATGCATTGTTTGTGCCAGTGGTGGTTGTGAGCAATTATATGCATTGTTTAAATGGTGTCGTCGGGATGGTTGTGATATAGTGGTGGTTTTTGGTGGCGATGGTGTTGGTGGCGATGCGATTGTGCGTGTACACTGCATTTTGATGTTCTGCATTTGTCATTTTAATCTGTTTCAATAGATCTGTGATGAAATTTTAGTGATTTTAACATATATTTTCCTTTAATAATTTAAGCAGCTATGGCTTATCAAATGTACCGTGTTTTGTTCAGTTTAACAACTCATAAAAATAAATGAGTAAGATTGATACATTTATGAACACATAAATGCAACTGCGGCGGCATCTAGTTTCTGATTGTGACCGATTGTAACCGTTTATGACAGATTGTGACTCGTTATGACATATTGTGACAGATTTATGACTGATTGGTCAAGACGAACACTAGATGACGGTTTGTGACAGATTGTGGCCGTTTGTGATCGATTGTAACCGTTTGTGACCGATTATGACGGGTTAATTGTGACTCGTTGTAACCAATTGTGACTTGAAATTTTGGAAATATGTGTATTCAGAAGTTTGTATTCAGAAAACTTTTTGGATGAATCAATTGTATTCAGAAGTTTGTAAACAATTTCCGTTACTTCTTTCTGGTGGTGGATTGTGGTGTTGGTCCGTGGTGTAAGCAGATTTGTTTGTGGTTACCATTTGTGACCAAATATGTGTATACTGTGACTGGTTGTGACCAAATGTGACTTGAACATATTCAAGTCACATTCGATCACAATTAACACAAAATTGGTCA